GTCATATTTAACCTGCAAAATGTAAACACAATAATTAATACTAATAACAACAACAACAACAACAACAACAATAACAATAATAATAATAATAATATTTTTGTAGTCCCGAACAAAAACGGGTGTCTACGGTGAGACTTTCACCTCAAGTAATGGAAGAAGTTTATACCATAAACCATCCTGATCAGATTAGTCATTAAAAGACCCTAATCATTTGTGTATCGTACAAGTACAAAGCAATACCCAGAATGATACAGAGTAGAATTGTAACATCCCAAACTATGGCTTAGTGACTAAATTGTAAAATTTTAGAATTTGGGGATAAAAGTAGAATATTTGAATAGATCAATGATTTATGTGGAGATATTTCCTGAAAGTTGTTAGTAATTATTAAATGAAGTGAAGGGCAAATAGGTCATTGAACAAGTAAAATAATTAAATAATAATTAATGGGTATTATAATACCCATGTGGAGCATGTTGGGAAACCATGCTAAGATATCGAGCCTAAATGAGTTACGGAACAATCGAAGAGTTAGGATTGAATCAAAGCAAGCAAGGCTAAGGTGAGTGCAATTTAATTGTACTTATGTTATTAATCAAACATTAGCTTGCGATGAGCCAATGACAGAGTTACTATGGTAAGAAGTAACTCCTAAAATGTTATATGATTGATGTAATTCTTATGAGTGTATATGTTGAATGATATGTGTGAGTACATGTTAATGTGATGATAAATAGGTATAAAGGAAATAAGTGATAATATGAGAATCTATTATAAGATATATGATATAAAAATGTGATAGTGAACTATATGAAAGAATCATGAGATACATGTGCTTATATGAATAAGTTTATATGTTATTCTTATGTGACACAACCTACATGATTATATGTTATATGCATCATTATATATGAGCTATGTCTGACATGTTATTCTACGAGCTATGTGACATATGAACATGAAATCATATGAAAAGTGACATGAATTACATGAAAGTAAACTATGTGATTATATGCACATGCGATATGTGACAAAAGAAAATAAATATGTGATCATAAGAGCAATGATATGAGTATATGAATTTATGAAACATAAGAAAAATGCCCATGTTATATGATATGATAGCTATAGGTATAGTTGGCATGTCAAGAGTAGAGGGTCTACACGGTCCTTCGGGATATATATGTATTCTTTGGAACATGCATGAGGTCTTTTGAGATACCTACTTGATCATTGGTATATGTATATGATTCTTAAGGAATTTCTATGTGGTCCTTATGGACAATGTTATATGGCACTACGGTGTAATTTTACGTGGCACTTCGATGCAAATTTCTACGCGGTCATTCAGGACAAATTCTACGTGGCACTTCGGTGCAAATTTATACGAGCTGTGGTGACAGCATTTGTGCACAACCTCAATGTACTCGAATACCTTAGGTTCTCAAAAATGTACATAGGCTAATAAAGAGACAATAACAAATACAATATATGTTATGAATATGCTTTTGGGTGATATGAAATGTTTCACAGGAATTATATGATGCTATATGATACACAAAAAAGATAAGTATAAGATCATATAAGAAATGAGCTTATAACAGGTATTAAAAATGTTGTTATATGTTATCATGTTATTACTCTTTACAATGAAATACATGTGAAATGATTGAATGGTTTGATTATATGTTTATATTTATAGGAAATACATTATTATTATGTTTTATATGCTTCACTAAGCCTATGACTTAGCGTGTGATTATTTCACGCGTAGGTTCCGAGAAGAGGAAGATTGATAAAGGTTAAGTAAGACATGTCAGTTCTCCTTTCCAAAGATCAGATCAAAAAAGAATTAAATAATATGTATTTTGTAATAATGATAGTGGTTGACATGTAATAAAGATTTGAATCCGATATGCTATAATTGATTTGTTAAATCATATAAATGAGTTTTGTAACGGTTTAAACGTGTATATGTAAATGATAATTTTATATGGATGAAAATTTAGATTTTTATGAATTTATACGTATTTTGTCGAAAGTTACTGTAGCAGTGCATCGATACACAATTTATATTCAAAATTTTCATTGTTCACGGTACTGTTCATACCATATAGTACTGTTTATAAATACATATTTTTTCAAATTTTTATAATGAAGTATAATTTAATAGAATAATATTATACTTTCTTAAAATGAGTTCAAATGTTTTGTTATCTTGTAAGAATATTGTTTCAAAAACGGGTTGGGGTGTTATAAGAATAATATCGATACAGAAATTTCGGCTGGTCATTGTTCTTTCGAAGATCGGATGTCGTCTGGTCAACCTTTGTATCAATTTCATCCATTAGAGGAACTTGCCTGTCTAATTCCTCGTTCATGTCAAGAGCTATATTTTTCAGTGCATCCAATCCTTGTGATATCTATCAAGGCCTTCATCTTGTTTCTTTTGTCTCATTTCGTACTCGAGTCTGAATTGATCCGACTCTTCCGATTCTTGGAAAAAATCATTATCGAAACACCCCTCCGATGAGTCAAATTTGATGTTTTTGTTAGACGATGAAGTTCTCCATCCACCGATCTGGTTCGCAGCTGCAGGCGTAGACCCATCTGGAATGGCTTTAATCCGTTCGATAATCACTAGTACCAGTTCGAAACGAGCTTCTAGCTCCTCTTTGGAAAGTCTCTTGACCTTCTATTTAGCCAAATTTTAAAGTTTAGGGACTTCTTCCATCAATTTAGCCTTTGTACGACGAACCTCAGCGTTTAATTCCACCGCCGTTGCTCTATTATTCTCCAGATAAGCCTTCTCAGCTTTAGCGATAGCGTTATCGATGTCGGCGTCGACAGTAGCGTAGAGACGAGCGAAGGCATCGTCGGCAGAAGCACTGGCTTCGCGTTGTTTATAGGGATCGTACTTTTCGTTTTTCTTCGACTCGGATATCAACCACCGTCATTATTCACTATCAAACTTTTGGAAAGCAACAAAATGGAATGGTGAAAGAAATAGGAGAAAATGAGAAAAGATTTGGTTTTCTTTTTCAGATTCAAGCTCCATGATTTTTTGTGTTTGCATGTAGTGTTTCTAATTTTGGACCGGACATCAACGGTGGAACGAATACATGGGTACGAGAACTGAAAAACTGATGCACCAGTTCAAATTCTATTGTTTTGGTTTAGTATCGTATCTAACTTTCACTCTTTTGTCCAAACGATCTTAGCAACTAAAAGAATAATTATTATTTTTAAAAGTCTTAAATTCAAACGCATTGTTTATAAAAATATTTAAATATTTATTATCAAATTATTAATATTCTTTCAAATAGATATTAATTATAATTACCGTATATTAATAAAAAAACTCACTCTCGTTTTAAAATGTTTAGGAATGAATAAACTACCAATTACTCATAATTAAATAACAATTATAATCGTGTAATAACATTATTAATTAATATTAGCATATAAATTTAGCAAACATGAAATATACGAATAAAAAAAATCTACGCTAATTAATTTAACTGAAGCTTATAATTAATTGCATAAATGAATCATATATATTAAAAAGAATATTAAATATCAATATAATGAAAGAGTACTTAATCAACCACGTTGGTTCAAGCGATAAGCAACTTGATATCGTTTCAGTAGGTCTCGTTTAAGTAAGTGTTAAACGCAAGTTGATCCATATTAGTTAGGACAATACTCTATAATCGGGAGGGCAACAAAAAGAAAAATAGCGTTTTCCATTGCTTTATGCATATTCATGTAAATGAATCGAACGAACACAAACGAGGTTCGGTTATATTTTCTTTATTAGGGTTTAAAATTAATTGGTTTTAAAATATTAATGGGTGAAGGTTAAATTTTTTTAGGTTTTAATATTTTAAACGAGTTTAGAGATTAAGTGAATATGAATGAACCAACATAAATGAATAAATTATTGAATGTTTACGAACATTAATGAATAAACGAGCAATTTGTTCCTGTTCGTTCATTTAATTAAACAAACATAAAATCTTGTTCATGTTCATTCGTTTAATAAATAAATGAACTTCTTGCCGAACGGGTCATGAACGGTTTGTTGAACGATTCGTTAAACGTTTAGTTCATTTACAATCTTATTTATGCATGCCTATGTTTCATTGTGTAAAAACAAGTTTGTTTTCTTTTGCACGAATCAAGCTACCTCAGTGGTTAAAGGAATTATTGTTATCCCTAGAGGTCCTATGTTCATTTTCATTATCAAATGATTGAGAATTTTAGAACATATACTACCTTGTAATTAGTATAGATCAATAAAAAAAAGGTTTGTGTTATTTTTTTTTTGAAGAATGTGTTTTTTAAAATTCACATAATAATTAAAACCTTTTGACAATCAATAAATTTATAAATAAAATAAAATTATTTATATATATATATATATATTTAAAATACACAAGCTTGCAAAAAATTTTAAAAATATTTTTATAATAAAATTTCAGTAATTTTAAACAAAATTAATTATTATTTTATTTTTAAAAAGGAAAATAAAATCATTAAAAAAATATGTAATAATATAAAAATCTGATTTTTTAAATTAGAATTTCATGGTAGCAGCAATTAAAACTTGAAGGCTTTCATAAAAAATTCTAAATAGATTTCAATGAAAATTTAATTTTATTATAGATACTAATTAAATATTTCACATTAAAAAATTAAATACAAATATTTTAATATTTATAAATTCATGTACCAGATTAATTAATAATTTCAAATGAAGTATTCCTATAGGGCATGTAGTTAGAGATGATGATGAATAGTTAAAAACAAATAATTTAAGAGAAGAAAAAGTATTAAATTGATAAAAAAAATTAAATATAAAAAATTAAGTTTATTAAATTATTTTGAATTAGGATCAAATTGATAGAATATATAAGTTTTAAGGACTAAATTAATATTATACCATTTTACTTAACTATTTCGTTACAGTCACATATCAAGAGAAGAAGGCTTCCTCTCGTTCGTCTCGAATTCCAGCTGCTGCACTGGTAATGGTATGTGTTAACTCTCTCTCTCTCTCTCTCTCTCTCTTTCTGTGTGTATATATATATATATATGATTCCTTATGCCTTCCCGTTTTTGTATTTTGCTCCTTCTCAATTTCCTACCTAGGGTTTATTACATTTCTTTAGCTGTTCCTATGAAAGTCTTCCATTGCTTAAATAGCCGATGAAAAGAGTGTCTCTTTTGTAATTATTTGCAACCACTTATATTTTTTCTTATCAATAGAAACGATTAATACGAAATGCTATAAATAGTTTGGCATATCAGTTGTTTAATTGAAAAAATTCATATTTATTTTAATTCTAGAAATTTAGGTACTGCGGAGAAGGTTTTCTCTCTGATGAACTGCTTGTCTCACGTGCGTGCTTATGGTTCGTCTTTATTTAGAAAGGCTGATAATTTCAATGCAGCCGCCTCTTTGAACCAATGCCATGTTCCCTTATGGAAAAGAAATTTTCAAAACGCTGGTGTTAAGACTGCATATTTAGAGTTTCTGTTGACAAGGTTTCGCACTCAGTGCTACTCTTCCCAGAACAGTAATAGTAGCAATGGTCATAGAAAAAAGGCATCTCGGACGAAAAAAGCTGATTCGGAACTTGTGATGGAAAACGATAAAGATGCATTCTTCGTAGTGAGAAAGGGAGATGTTGTTGGTGTTTTCAAGAGCTTTGCTGAATGTCAGGCCCAAGTTGGTTCCTCGGTAATATTCCTCTTACTTGATTCCCCTTTCAGCTATGTTATTGCAACATGGATATTTATGTCCTATTCATTTTATAGTGAAGTGATGTAATAACCGTAATGCAAATAACATTATTGTTCTATTTCAAGTAGATATGTGATCCTCCAGTCAGTGTTTACAAAGGCTCCTTTTTGACGAAGGAAACTGAGAAATATCTGTCTTCCTGTGGGCTTAAGAATGCTCTCTACACTATTAAAGCTGCAGATGTGAAAGAGGATCTTTTTGGAGCGCTTATCCCCTGCCCTTTTCAAGTGAGACCTTAAGCATGAACCTTATGCATACTGCAAATTTTCTGTTTGGTTGAATAGATTCTTGTGACTGCAATTTCACCTAAAATTTCACCTAAAATTGTCTGTTTACTTGCAACCTGAAGTTCTGAATAGGCCATCAATGATCAATCTATAAGTACTTTGACTAGTTTGTTTCTTTCACATGCTAACTGTATCAGCGGGGCTGTTTTATACCATCCACGGAAGGTGAAGATATTGGCTCTTATAGATTTGAAGGTTGATATTCCCATTTTTGTTTGTATCAGGAACCGGCTTCTTCTAAGGGTGAAACATCTCATAACGATGCAACCCAAAAGAGATCACATAATATGCTTCAGTCAGAGTATGGGGTAAGGTACCAGTTTTAATTTTCCCTGAACGCATCATTATTAATACCACACTCATGATTGGACGCAACATTATTTTTCAGTGTTGTACGTTTAACCTTTTTCAGGGACTGGGATTGCTTGGTTCACCAACTGTAGCTGATCGTGTGAGAAAGCATGTCAAGTTGGATTTGCATGCTGAGGTTCAAACAGCATCCTCTGGTTATGTAAGTAGATCCGGTAGTATATGCCAGTAAATGCTTGAATATAGTTCCTCAAACTACAGAACCTATATATATTATGCTCTGAAAGTAGGCTGTGACCCCTGTACTTTATGTCTTTATGGCAGCTATCTTGTATTATTGAGTTTGATGGTGCATCAAAAGGAAATCCTGGACCAGCTGGTGCAGCAGCTGTGTTGAAAACTGATGCTGGAACCGTGGTATGCAATTTGTAAATTGGACCTTTTCCAAACCTACATCTTTCCATAATATGATATTTTGAACAGATTTGCAAATTGCGTGAGGGTTTGGGCGTAGCAACCAATAATGCTGCTGAATACCGTGCTGTAATTTTAGGGTTGAAACATGCTGTTAGAAAAGGTTATACAAGCATTCGTGTTCGAGGTGACTCAAAGCTCGTTTGTATGCAGGTAATCTAACTATTTTATCCTTTTATTGTTGCTTTGATGTTATTTTCCCGAAAAAAATTCTAGGTGACAATGCTGGAACAAGGTTCATACCTAAGAGCAAATGCAGTATGCCTTTTTCAATCTGTTATTGGGCTTTCAAGTTTCAATTTCAGGGGATGTGCCATTTGCAATAGTTTTTGCCATGCAAGTAGACTCCTCATTTTAGGGCCCTATTTGTTTCTCTATTAGATGTTTTGAGTTTTAGCTTTTAGACAATTGTTTCCTTGGTGACTTGGTGCTGCAGGGAAGAACAGTACCTTCTCCCTTTCCCCCCTGAAGCTTCTGAAACAAGAAAGTGTTATAGTTTTCCCTCTTAACTTGGTCCTACAGGAAGAGTATTTAATCCATTTAATGGGCTTTCCTATTAGAACACACACCTTATCTATTTCTCTCTTCCTACACCCAATCCCCCCCCCCCCAAAAAAAAAAGGGAAATCTTTCTTCTTTTTTGGCTGGCCTGTCACCTGAGGGAAAACCAAATCGTCTCTAAGCAAACTTATAGTTCAACTGTTGCTATTTCTGGGCCTTCAATAAAGGTCTAAATCTTGATTGACCAAAAACAAAGTAGTAGTAGTAGTAAAATTTCCTAAGTCTTAGAGCTTTGTTGTTTATTTTTATTTTATTGAAGTATTATCATTTCTCAAGTTAAGAAGCTTAGCTTCTTCCTTGTTCTAGTATTCTTACAGCTGGTATTTCCTTGAACAGCTGCAGGGTTTATGGAAAGTCAAACATCAGCACATGTCTGAGTTACATGAGCAGGCAATGAAACTGAAGGATAAGTTTCTTTCATTTCAGATCAATCATGTTTTAAGGGTATGGCCAATTTGATAGAAGTAATCGGCAGAAATTCTTTTTCTTGCGACTATAATTGCCTCTTTGTGAATACCATTATTATTTAGGTGTATGGTGTATACAATGTTTTTAAAGCTCGGGTTGCATCTACAACTTTTCTACTTCTATTTAAGCTCTTTTAACGCTTGCATGCTTTGGCAATTGTGCCAGTTTTTGGCTGGAAGCCAGTAAACTAGAAACTGATGGCTGATGTTTTTGATGCCATTTTAATTTCTCCTAGATAGTGCAGAATTAAGAATGAGAGCTTGTAAATAATTTGCAGTGTCAAAACATTAGTTTCAGACCAGTCTTACTGGTAGTTCTCAAGCCTCAAATCTAAAATACCTCAGACCAGTATTTGCAATAATGTTACTTTACTGTTGTTTCTTTGCTTTTGGTGTCTTCAAATTAAGTCGATCAATTGTTCCACAAGTGCATTCTCATGAATAAGACATTTTGCTCCCCCTTTGTCTTCTTACTGCATTGCACTATTTGACTTTTTCTTGCTCACCTTTTAAAGGGACTGAATGGGGAGGCTGATGCTGAAGCCAACTTGGCTGTCAAACTTGCTGGTGAGGCTTGGTTTTAACCATTTTTCTATTTTATCCCGATCAAATCGAACACAAGATGTTTCTGAGATATTTCTAACCGATGCAGAAGGCCAAATCCAGGAGGAGTTAGCCTAAGTCATTGATTGTTCAGGCTGGAGTTTTCTGGTTTGTTCTAGACTTTCATTTATAAAGAACAAATGAATCGAGGGTTTTGTCACTCTTTGGCTATAATTTTGTTCTCGTGTAGGTCCAAATTTTGTTGTTTACATTTTAACCCTCCAGACGACCAAATGATTGTTGGCCTTCAAACTCAGCTCTGCAAGGAACAAGGCGAATACCATTTTCTGTATTTGTTTGTGGGAGAGACATGCTAATGGGGTATCAAATTCAAATGGAATACATCTTGGTTTAATTTCAAAGCCTTATTTAACACATTGTTGTGCGAATATAGATTTACTGCTGCCCTAAGATGAGTATTATTTTGGATCTCTCTTCACTACTACGGGCTTCCATTTTACCCGAATACAGAACGATTAGGCTCTAGCTGCGTGAAATTGTTCATGTTCAGGATTGCACCCATGGTCTGGTTGTATAGGGTATATATCTTCAAATGTAAGTGCAAGTGCATGTTGACTGTAATTTTATGATTTTGGTCCCTGTTTTTCTTTACCATTGCATGATTACTTCACTTTTATCTTTAATCAAAGTCACACGATAATTGAGTTTCGAGTACGGTGTCTATGGATTGGATTTGATTAAGTTTAGGTCAAGTTAGGCATAAATATGTTCTCAAATGTGGATATATTTGATAGCTTGGGTTTCAAGTTGTATTCATATCCTTTCATGTTTATAAATGTAAGATTTCAAACTCAAGTAAATTAACTCATATTATTTATCTAAAATTAATCAAAAAGTGTTATTCTTTATTCAGTTTTAAAATACAAATAACTTAACGATAGTATATTTAGAGATAAATATTAAAACTACACATGAATTTTAGTAAAATGTCTAATGTGATAAATGAATTTTGAAAATTTTATTTTAATTCAATTATATATGTTTTGAAAAAAATAAATGTTTATATTTTCATGTAAACAAAAAATGATTTTATATTGATAACTATTTTACTAATTTATAAAATCAAATTAACATTTCATGTATATAATTATACAAAACTAAACTTTATATATCATGTCATACATTTGATGAAAATTCAAGTAAATAATTTTGATATTTATTATATACATATGTTTGATATAATACAAACTACAAAGTATTTTATTTTTTTTTATATATAACTATATAAGAACTAATTTATTATTTGTTTTTTATATAATTAATAAAGATCACATGAACTTGAATGCCTAAGGAGCATGAATAAAAGTAGCAAGTTGGTCCTGGAAAATCGAAACAATCTGCTCTGGGAGAGAGTAGAAAACCATACCATTGAATTTTAATATATATATTGGGTTGACCCGAATTATGAGTCACAAGCATAAGCCTAGTCCTACATGCAAAGCCCATGAAAGATTTTCATGATCACTGCAATTATATCGGACGGCTGAAACCACATCCGGTTTTATATGCCGACTTGGAAGCCAAGAAACGAACATGAAATAACATGTAATCAAATCATAGAAAGAAGATGAAATGAGTTCACTCCACCAAAACTCTCCATCACCATGGCAATGTTGATGAAAAGAATTGCATTCTTCACCAGAACCATACCAAAACCCTGCCCTCCTTTTCCTTTCAAATATTTAGAATTCCCCCTTCGTTCATGTCCTGCACAAACTGGTGCCGCCGATTTTTCTGGAGAAGGCAATCTGGTGTACTCAGACCCACCAGAATCAGCCACCGTCAACCCCCTTTTGCCCAACCTCCTCCAACCACGTGTCGTCATTTATGATGGGGTCTGCCATCTTTGCCACCGAGGTTTTCCTTTCCCCTCTTTTCCTTTCTCATTCTTTGGCGATAAATGGATTTTCAGGGATTGGGTTTTGTTTACCATCGAGTGTTTTCTTACTTTTTTCCGGTGTTTTTGTTTACTTAAAGGGGTTAACTGGGTGATTAAAGCGGACAAACACAGGAAAATCAAGTTCTGCTGTTTGCAGTCAAAGGCTGCTGAACCATACTTGAGTGTTTGCGGCGTTGATCGAGAGGATGTTCTTCGTCGTTTCGTTTTCATTGAAGGCCTTGGCGTTTATCATCAAGGTTCCACTGGTTTGTTCTCAACCATTGATTTTCTTCCAAATTATGTTATGCCATTTTCTATTGGGTTTCTCTTGGAAATTGTTGTATTCCACCCGTAGATTATATGCTATTCAGTGAAATTATCATTTTAGATTTCGACTTCTCTTGCATTTGAAACTCGGAAATTTCGAGTTCAACGGGGGAAGATACATTGCAGTCAAAGGTGGCAGTTGAAAATTTATAGAATTTAGAAATTTCTGGCACCACTACCCTAATTCCCAAAAGCCATTTATGAGAAATGAAAAAAATAAATTGATGACAAGGTGGTATGATGAGTATCTTCTATGGGTATTTTTGTTCCATATTGACCAAGAGAAAACTCCAAATGGCTTTTAGGTTACTGAAGATTTATTGTTACTAATGTCTAATATGATTATGTGATGCACTTGAGCTTCATACAATAAGATTGAACAATATTTCCATGGCAAAAGCTTCTAAAACTTAAATGTCGGCTGCAGTTAATTTCTTGATTATCGGATTGAGAAATTTATTGCTTGATGTATCTCTATTTTTTCTGCCTTTTGAAATTGAACATTAAGTTATAATTGGTTGTTCTGCAGCTGCACTGAGAGTGCTATCATACTTGCCACTTCCCTACTCTGCTTTAAGTGCATTCTTGATAATTCCAACTCCATTGAGGGATGCAGTTTATGATTATGTTGCCAAGCGGCGTTACCACTGGTTCGGAAAAAGTGAAGACTGCCTAGTTTTGCAAGAGAGCGAACTATTGGAGCGTTTCATTGATAGGGAAGAAATTATGTATCATAATCGATCAAAATTGTAAGCCAGATTCCCTTGAATATACAATCAGACAAGCTTACTTTATGGTAGATCGTGAAACTTTATGTCTTATGTAGTGATCCGAATTCTACCCGGTTTGTCTGTCATTCCTGCCCAAAGAATGATTTCGGTTCTATGAATACCCGGTTGATAATGAATGAGATAAAACAGAGAACAGCTTGCAAAATTGTCTATGTATCATATTCTGATCAAGAATGTGTGGTACAAAGCTTCCTTCAAAACTACTTATCATAACAAAAATCCGCTCAACATGGAATAACAATGACGACTTAATCTCCAAAAGAAGCGGAGGAAGAACAAAAGCTTTCTCCAATACCTAAACTAGTTACTACAACAACCCTTAAGATGTTACTCAATTGCATTCCTAGTAAGAGCCATTTTGTTAATTGGTGCCGGTCCATTCTTTCAAGTCCTTACCTACGAAAAAGCACCAACTTTACCAGAAGGTTTGAACTTTAAACTATGTTACTCTAGAAAACCTAGAAATGTAGTCGAAAGGATTAAATAATGATGTGGTGTGTTTTAATTGGTCATGATTTTTCGGGAACAATGGTACATTTAAGCCTTTTTGAGAAAAAAAATAGAGTTTAAGCATTTAAGCAAAGTAAAAGTGATAGTTTAGGTATTAAACATATAATTTACCCTAAAATATAAGGTGTTAAACTACAAAATCAAATGAGCATCTACAGAATTGTACAGACTTGTCCTGTTAAAGTTAAGCCCCAAGGCTAAACCCTCGTCTTCTCCTTCTGCCACTGTAAAAGTTTTAATTTTTGAAGTCTCAGAAAATAGAAAAGCTTATCTCAAAAGAGGCAAGGCAATAATGATTTCACGTAGCTCAACTTCAATGCTCCATTTCTACAGTTTATCAACCACCACCCCAAATCTCTTCTCTCATTTCAGCCTCTCCTCTTTTCTCTGTACTTCCGCGCCATCTCATCCATTCCGTTTTATTTGGCTCAAACAATCTTACCGGCGCCGAACCAGGGACTTTAGTAGCGCCGCTATTTCTGCCTCTTCTCAAAATAAAACTGGGAGGGATACCTTCTTTGCTGAAGAGACTGTTTCCTGGAAGTCTTTAGGCTTGTCTGATAGGATCTCTCAAGCGCTCTCTAATGCCGGTTTCGACAGACCCTCCCTCGTTCAGGTGCTTTATCTTCTTTTGATGAATTCATATCCATTCCTTGTAATTTAAGCTCTGTTTCTCATTAATTTTGCTGCTCATCACCATTTAGAAAAACAAAATGATGGGTATCTACTCTAGAGTTGGCGTGGCTCTTTACTTATATGTTTATGTTTAATCAATTATGAACATGTTTTCAGTCATTTGATGCTAACAGTAATCAAAGAGCAAAATCTGAAAGCGGTGGAACAAAACTTTAAAAAAAAAAATATTTTTAGTTAATCTAAACAGATTACCCTCGATTTCATTTTATTCTCCAATCATGTGTGCTCACCGTTAATGGGTGGTTTTGGGTGTTTACTGAAAATTATTCCCTTTTGAATTATAGGCTGCCTGCATGCCGTCTATACTCTCTGGAAAAGATGTGGTAATTGCTGCGGAGACTGGTAGTGGTAAAACATATGGTTATCTAGTTCCCCTGATTGATAAGCTCTGTAGTTCTAGGCACGATTGGGATAATGATTCCGAGAAACCTACTTCTTCTTCGCCTAGCTGTTCTGTTGTTCTTTGCCCAAATGTGTTGCTCTGTGAACAAGTGGTTAGAATGGCTAATGATCTTTCGGGCGATGATGGCAAACCACTTCTCAGAGTCGCAGCGGTGTGCGGTCGACAGGTATTTTTGTGAATGGCAACATACATCACTTTGGCATTTCTAGAATTCATGGTTTTCTATGTTATTGAAACTTGGAGGGTGCTTTTAATTTATTTTTTTCTGATGCATGTTTATATTTGGCATTGTTCTTTTTATATTGGTAAAATCTGATTGTCATGAATAAGATGCTTGACTTCAGGGGTGGCCAGTTAATGAACCAGATATTATTGTGTCAACACCAGTTGCTCTTTTGAATAATATAGATCCCAAGACCCATCATCGTTCGGATTTCATCCGTTCTGTAAAGCATGTGGTATGTTTTCTGACTCATAACTTGGTTTTCTTTTTGGTTAATTGGGAAGCTACAGGGCCCTTTTTCAAGATTTCTTTTTACAATAATTCGCAGGTTTTTGATGAAGCAGATTTGCTTCTTTGTGGGGGCTTTGAGAATCATGTTATCCGTCTTATACACATGCTCTGTTTTGATGAAAAACTGTTGTCTCGGATGAATAAATCTGGACTTGAGAATCCTGTAGAACTGAATTCTGTTTCTGTATCACACTTAGACTTCGAGCGTGAGGAAAACATTCAAAATGAATCCATCTCTGAAGCTGTGGAAATGTCTGAGGATGATGTTGATGCCGAGGATTTGACAGAAGAAACTCAAACTTCACCTGTCAAGAAAAAGGACTGGAGGAGAGTGAGAAAAAATTATGAACGAAGTAAGCAGTACATATTTGTTGCTGCAACCCTTCCAGTTAATGGAAAGAAAACTGCTGGCGCAGTGTTGAGAAAGATGTTTCCAGATGCCAACTGGGTTAGTGGAAGCTACCTCCATCAACACAATCCTAGGTGCCAAATTCTTATACTCAGTTTTCCCCCATCTTTCATTGATAAATGGTGTTGCATTTAGTTATGTTTATCAGAACTGTTAAGAGGCCAAGACATGTTTATATCTTTCTCATATTTTGTTGTTGTAAGCTTGTCACTGCTCGTGATGAATTAGTTTGATCCAAAATTGTCTGTTCTTGTCATCACTAAAGAAAAAAGTACTTAGAGATTTGCAATATCATTTTTCTTATGCATGGAGATTTAGACTAGACCTGGCAGTTTGTGTATCCGTTTCATGTTCATGTACTTTTTTGTGCCAAAATCATATTTAGGGTCTTTTATATTTAACTAAAATTGATATTAACTTGTATTATATAGATTCTAAAACATTCATGCAGTCATTGTTGCGCTAATGTCGTGGTTTGGTTATTCTTCTATGTCGTGTTTAATATTGTAAGTTTAATTTAGAATGTCGCAACTTACCAGATTAAAAATTGCAGTTGTTGAACGTCCAACCATACTGTAGAAACCACTGTAACCATTTTAAGAATAACATTTATTTTACTTTTTTTCTGCTCATATCTTTAAACTTTAAAGGGTTCTGATGCTTGAATCTTGATTGCCAACAAGATGCATTTAATTAGCTTTGTAAGCTGGAAATGTTGATAATCAAAATAATGGAAATATAGGTGAAACAAACTCCTACGCCATATGTTTCTTTGATTAGTTTATCTTTCGTACTGAATTTACTAGGTTAGATGTGGCGTGCTTGCGTGTGTAACTTATAATAAAGATTCAAGACAGAACTTGTTAATCTGTGTGTTTTGAGTGGGAAAATGCTGAACCCAATTAACTTTTGCGGATCCAATATCTTGATAGTTTGATATGTGGCATAACATCTAATCCTACAGAATCCAACCACTTAATGATTTGTTTATTCTTTGGCATGGTTTTCAGTTCCCCTACAACTTTGAGCTATCATTTATTTGCCCTATTTCAATAATCATCTTTTCAATCCCTTAAGTCCTTTTATTTTCAAAGCCAATATTGGGCTTTGTTGGTAATTTGTGTTTCTTTTCCAATTTTAGATTGAAGGAGATATGGATTGAAGTCACAACTGACACTCAGGTTGATGCACTAATAGAAGCTGTAAAGCAATTCGACTCAAAAGCATTGGATCATGGTGCTGGTGTTAACCGAACCATGGTGTTCGGTAACACTGTTGAGGCTGTTGAGGCAGTGGCTAATATACTGCAGAGGGCTGGAATTGAGTGTTACCGTTACCATAAGGACCTCTCTCTGGAAGAACGTGCTGAGTCCTTAGATGATTTCCGAGAGAAAGGCGGAATTTTTGTGTGCACAGATGCTGCTGCTCGTGGTGTTGACATTCCAAATGTTTCACATGTCATCCAGGTGATCCATTTTACTATATCAATTTTGTAGAGGCAAAATATACTCATGATAAATGGATAATCTTGCAACACATGACTCCTTCTATGTAAGAGAATCTAATAAACAGTGGAACAGTAATAGTTAAAGTTGCTAGGGCATAATTTCACTAAGGCTTATTTTGGTAGGGAGGATAAATGGATGGAAAATCATTTAACAGTAGTTGGGATTCATAGCCACTTTGTCTATTTTATCTCTGACCTTTTGGATTAAAGCTTCCTCTTTCTCCTTTCCTCCCTTCTACCAAACTGATAATGATTTTAATAAATGTATTGTTATTTCTCGGTTAAAAGGAATTTATAGATGATAATACTGTTATTAAGTTATACTTTAAAAAACAGGTTCGTGTATGAATTTACTGACAGAGATTTGTGGTTAGAGTTGTTGAACCAGATAATGCAACAAAAATCTAATTGTAAATAGACACACACATACATGTCACGTGAACATAACCAATTCAAGAAATATAAATTTTGAAGCAGTATGGTACAGTGTAATAGGAGGAAGAAGGCATCTATATTTCTCCATACTTATGTGCGATCACCTCTGAGGAATAATGTATAGACCAAGAGAAAGGTCATTCCTATTATAAGAGTACTTATACAATATTGATAGGGAGTTCAGATATTGTCATAAGTTTATCTAAATTATTTGGTGCAGTTAATCATGTGAAATATTTGATTTTTCCAGGCTGACTTTGCCACTTCTGCAGTAGATTTTTTGCATAGGGTTGGTAGAACAGCACGAGCCGGTCAATTTGGAGTTGTTACTAGCCTCTACAATGAATCCAACCGAGACCTTGTTAATGCGATTTGTGCAGCTGGGAAGCTGGGTCAGCCTGTGGTAATTGAAAAAGTTTTCAGTTTCTATTTAGCTAAATTGACAGTTCAACTCTGCCTTAAACTCATACGAAGGAGATTTTTTTTTTTTGATAAGAAGAGGGGGCCTCGTTAAAACCCCCTTTATGATTAAAGGAGCGCCAAGAGGTACATAAATGCACAAGTGCGTGCACACACACAAGCACAACAGCGCACACACACACACACAACCGCGCACACACACACGCACACATACACGCACAACCGCGCACACACATGTATTGTATAAGTATTCTCCTGATCCTGAATAAATGCATAAGGTAGTGGTTTTATGATTAGGAAGTCTTATCATACAAATCAAATTCCTTATGCTTGTGTATGAGTTCCACTTTCGTGTGCAGTTACTAAAAAATATTATTTGTTGTTGGCTGTAGGAATCGGCATTTAGCCGGAAAAGGAGTTTCCGGAACAAACTTAAGAAGAGAGGTAAGAGCTTGTGTTTGGAATTTACTTACCAAAAATTTATGGTTTCTTTTCCTTTAACAAAACATACCCCAAATTCCACTTATTTATGCGTAATAAATTTCAAATTTTTTGATATTATTGTCTTGGTTTAGTAGGTTCAAACAAAGCCAGGGACACAACAACTGCTGAATTGATGGTGTAACAAACAAGGTACATAAAAGACAGTAGTTAATGGTATTATATATTGTGAAGACTTAGAGCTCTCCTCCATTTGTTGTTTGTGCACACACAGAGATGGAGTGTATAAGACGAGTTCTGTTCGATACTAAGCGTGATCTTACTGGAAGGAAATAGGGTTATCGATTCCATCTATCGGATATACGCCCGGCGTTACTAACCATTTCTATCCCACCAACTCCACAGTTCTGTCCACCAAAGATGTTCTTAAGGGACCAATTCTGAGTATCATTGATCCTGGCTCCACATTTGCCTGTAGTCATCGTATTATTTTACTTGCACGGAATGTAATAATATAAGATCAATTGCCAACAATCTTTTGACTTGACGGTAATATACTTGCGTGAGGTGAGTAGAGGCAGTTCTGAAAAATTTAAATTCTCCTATGTTTTAGATTTTTATGTATTTTTTATTGATAATATGTTATCTTAAAATTTTACAAGTTCGTTCTCTAAATTTTATAAGTTCGTTCCCAATATAAAATATTCCTTCCTTCTTTGCCTATTCCCTTTTTCCTATTAACAAATATATAATATGTTATAACAATTATTATTCTTAAATTGATATTTTTAAAATACAATTATAATTTTTTGGCCACCAAAATAAAATTATACACTTAATAAAGTCAACTCCACAAACGTTTGGACATTTTTTGGCGATTGAAGCTAAGGTACCAAGTAGCTGCCATTGTCCTTGACCTTAACGAGTCAGCCGGGCTATAAAGCAGTCATTAGCCACTATAAATTTATTAACCCCTCGATCAATCAATTAAGCAGCTAATCTCACAGCCAAATCATCACAAATATGGGTTCTCTGATCAAAGCTACTGTTTGGTCTACCTGTTTTACGGCACTTATCTTTGTTGTTGCAGCTGAAATGAAAATGCCTCCCGGCATGGCGATGCCGCCTGCGCCATCACCAAGTACCACCAACCTTGTATCGCCATCACTGGCCGTCGGATTCCTTTCTTTCATCGTCTCAATTTTCGTTGCCAACCAGAGAATCTGAGCATCCCCCATACACGTATGTTATATTAATAAAGCTTGGTATTATTGCATGGTATTTCGATTTCCATGTTTTGACTTTTTACATCAATAATGTTCTCATATTGCTTTATCGCATCAATCCAGCATATTCGTATTTGATTTAAAAAGTTAATGACATTCGAGTTATATTAAAGAAAAACTCAATTATCATCTTTAAATTATAATTCTCGTTTTGAATTAATTCTAATTTTTTAAATATTTCAATTTCATCCTCAAACTATCATTATATGTTAATCACATGTCATATTAATAAAATCGTTAAAAAAGGTTAAACATCATGTAAATATTGACGTGTATTATGTAATAATATAATATGTCATAAAAACAATTAACGTCCGTTAAATCATAAATAAATTAAAGGGTTATTTGATTTTTATTTTTGTTCTCTCAATTTATGTATAATTCTTTCTCTGTTATAAAGATCACCAATGTTAACATGACAATTAACAATTTTCATAAAGATTTTACAAGTACGAACGTGCTGTCCAAATATTAAAGTCAAACCCAGAATTAGTCAACTAAGTTATATTATGAAAAGATACACTAATGTTTATTTGAGACAGATTTCGCACTGCAAATTAGACCCGTGGCAATGGAGACGCCATTATACTATAGAAATTTAATTTTATTTATCGAAGAAATTTTAACAATAAGATTTGAGGTTCATCAAATTTATATTATAAGGAATATTATTTTAGTTTTAATAAACATTAGGTCTCGAAATCAATCCCAAATCACTTTTCCTCTCCCAAGTGATATCATCTCAACTAAACATTAGTGTTATCTTTTCATATTTTCATATAACCTCAATTCATTTAAAAATACTTTATATTTTTCTTCACTCACATAGTAAATGTGACAAAGTTTAATAATAATAATAATAATAATAATAATAATTTTTTTACCTATAATGTGAATAAACAAAAATGTTTTATGTAAAAATATATTTATAATAAATAATTAAAGGTTAAAAGGTAAATATTTTGTATAAATATTTAATTTATAATTATTTTATCTAACTAGAATTTATATAAAAATGTAAAATAAAAACAAACTTGTTATTAATTGCCATCTAAAAGGCAAACCATATATAACTTCTGATCATAAAAGGTAATGACAGCAGAATATATACACACACACGTGTATATATATACACATGAAAATGCCATAGACCTTTACCTCAGGCATCACCTCTAAATAAAAAGGGGCTAAACACTAAGAATATAACAATTTAGATCAAATTATGTATAATTTGGGGAAAAGTTCCTTTAATCAAAATTATGATTCTTTTATATAAAAAAAACAAATGAGAAAAATGATTGGCGCTAAAAAGCAATTTAACAAAAATATATCGACTTCGGTTCAAAGAATATACACACAGGATTAGGTTGAGTTTAAGGGGTTGCATGTACTGAAATTCAAGTTCTAGCCTTCGGTTCATTGAAGCTTCTTGCTATTGTTGTTATGGGGTCACGTTGAAAGCAGTCCCACTGTGAACTATGGCTACTGAAACCACCTGCAACGCACAATTCACAGTAAATCCATGGATTGAAGACCGCATGATCGAATGACTTCGTTCTACAGATCAACAAAGTCCCTTGATATTATTTTAAAGTTGAAATCATCATACTCGATAATCTACCATATTCGACTTCTCTAATACTCTGCCACAAGGACATTCTTCATGCTAAACAACCACACTATGATAAGTTCAATACTCTTCAAAGTAGGGAAAAAAATGTACCAGAGGGGATGTCAGTAGGGGGAGTGTATTCTACCTTCTCAGTTCGGACCCTGACCGGTGTATAGTGCTTGTCAACGGGGAGTCTTAGAAGAGCACTTGTTGAGAATACAAACAATAAATTACAAATACGACCGAAAGAAGGAAAAAGAAAGAGAACTTCACAATAATAATGAGTTGCTATCATCCTTGTCATGGTGAAGAAATGGTCAAATTTCTATCTTAACCATCTTTTCACATTATGATCAAAACAAAATATGATGCAGTATGTTGTTTGCTTGCACAAATGTCGAACCTATACAATAAATTACGTGCTGATTTGTAAATTGTAAGGCCCAAAAGTTGCAGATTTCTTTATCCTATTACAACATTTGGCACGGTTTAAGCAAATCATAACGGTCAGAGAGCTTTTCGTAGAAAACAAAATTCCATACTTTACCTGTTCAGCATAGCTGCTTTCTCTTGTCAAATTTTAAGTGGATATTATACCATTTCTTCTTCTTAGTTCTGTCCCTTGTAGAATGTTTCCTTTCTTTCACTTCGCCATCTTTCTTGGTCTCCTTGGAGGCACCCTTCCTCCAATTCTTACTTGAGCTTCTCTTTCTTGGAGGAACAGTTGTGTAGGAGGCATGCATCTCGTTCCTTTGTTTGAGGAGTTCATCTATCTGCAAAACCAGCATGAAGGATTTGATTGAGAAAATTATCCATTTACCTATAAGTTTCAGTTCTCATGGAGCTTAGACTCGTAATTCCCACAAGTTAATCTCACCTCTTGCATTCCCTTCGTGTATCTGCTTGTCATCTCGGTAAATTGTGTCAGGACCTGTAGCACTCAGCCACTCAACATGAATTATCAACAAGAACAAATTTTTAATACCGGTATACACACCGAATTTGAGAAACTAGATACCTCTCTGTATTCCGTTTCAAACTTTGACAATTCCACCCGTTTCAAACTTTGACAATTCCACCCGTTTCAATAGAATCTCAGCTTCGACGGCTCTAAGGTTCTCCTTTTCCTCCACAAAAGGGGCAGTAAAAATAGCTTCAATAGTGTAGCTTACACTTTTGAAAAAGTTGTCACCTAGAGAAAATGGTTCCAGAATATTAGAAAGGTAGGAGTTTCATCCATGCATGTGAACCAACTAAACTGGAGATTTGAGGGGCATAGCTCTGAAGGAGCAAACCATAAACAGCAAACCAATGTGTGCCCGGTTTTAGTTCAATTATTTCACATGGTTGAAATCCATCCAGTTTTTTGAAGAAAGCTGTATCTGGATCCTTGGCAGCAGCAACCTGCAGTTGGGCATTATGAAACCATATAAAGGATGACAGGATCAAACGTCAGCTTGAAGCACAACTATATCATAATCGGAAATACTCACTCACTGAGTTGACTGTTTGATCCAAGCGATAGACAGGGAAGCCAAGAAAATACATTCCTGCAGTTGTAACCTTTCCTGTTTTTGCACTGTCCTACACCGAAAGGAACATAAGCACGATTTTAATTGAGGAACAAGTAATTAAAATCTTTAAACAACTACTAATAAGACTTCATTTTAAAGGAAAAAATGTACGGATTTTCTTATCAGAACCATAACAGGTCAAAATGAAGCCATGTCCCGGACAAACTTGAGTATATTGACATTTTATCACACTATATGAGAAGCATCAACAGTGATAAGAAACAAAAAGAAGGCAAGAGAAAAAGAACAAACACATGAAGTGAGAAAAAGACAAAGGATAGGACTGCAAGTTTCTGAAGATAAATCTGTATATGACAATCTGTTACGCACAGTGGTCAAAATTCAAGAAAAAAGTTTTACCTAGTTCTACTCATTCCTCAACAGTGTTCTGAAAGGGGATACATGGAGCAGAAAGCAGAAACCAGAAACTTAATGATTCTGTTACTCAATCCTCTACAACTTAAAGTAAGGGTTTCAATTGTTCTCAATGCAATTAATTATTATATCCTAAATCAACGAAGTACTCACAGGGCATGGTATTTTTCTTTTTCTTTTATGGTGGGGAGAAATGGAGCCTGCAATCTTTTGATGATAAGTAAAGAAAAGTACTCTCACTGTTTAAGTTCCTTTCCTAAAAAATCTTAAGGCTACTTGATATCTAATATTACACACATATTGCAAAAAGCTCAAAATTGACAAAGTTCAAATTTTGTTCATTAGTACTGAAAAAAAGGAAAAACAATCTCAGTTTCTATCATTGTCAACAACACCACAACGCCCCACCCCCTAAAAAAAGGGGAAAAACACTAGATTGAGTAGGCAGATAATGTTGAATCAAGGAGTTTTTAGATCATTGTATATCTACCTTGAACTTGCTTTTATCGGGTGATTGTACTCGGCAGACAAACCCATTCCTTGCTTCCTCTTCTGTTATTTTGACAGAGTAGAAGTGAGCACATTGTTTTTCAACCTGTTAAAGGTGCAACAAGTCCATTGACTGCATAAAAAACAGTGTAAAGAATTAGCAAAGAACAGAAATATCATCATCTCACCCTCCTAGAAACAGGTTGCCCAAGCAGAAGCGGTTGAATATTGGCCACACCTTTAAGTGCCTCCTCCAAAACAGTTGCAGATACAATGGTCTTAATTGGCACACCAGTTTACTATTTACAGGAATTAGTTAGATGTATACCCAAAGAATAACATTCATAAAGGCGCAAAAGAGTGGGAAATGTTAAATAATATAAAAGGACAAGGAGTTAACTAAAATCTGCAGCAAACATGGTGTTCACAGCCCCCAAACTTGAAAGATCTAGCTCCAATTCCTGGTTATCTGCTTCAACAGCCTATTCAAATGAAAGAACATCATGATCAACAAAATTCACGATTCATCAAAAATATCTAGTTTAGTGGTGCATGATGGTGTTAAGAAGTGGAAGCATGGACTGACTGAAATTTTTGCAGCCTCCATGTATAACCTGAATGATGGTAACAGTGAGATAGTTGCAGATTACCTATGTTACTCCAGCTCTTCATTTTTCCTGAAATACCCGTGTTCAAGAAATATTTGAACATAGGTATGGGGTTATAGTCCTCCAAAAATATGAAGGAAAAAAAAAACTTCAAGAAAATAATCATACTCATGTCAGACAGATACAAGTAACATGGGCAGATAACCATCAGCCTAAAAGAATTTCAGAAATTAACTGCATGCATGCATATCTCACCTCAAAACCAGCTGTATCATGCTGGTGTCTTTTATCTGGATCGGACAAGATATTGTAAGAAAATGTGACTTCCTTAAACATATCAGCTGCAACTGGATCATTTGCATTCTTATCAGGATGGTCCCTGAAACAGCGCAAGATTAGAATCTATAATTACCCAACCAACCTGAATAAAGCAAGAGTATAATAGGAGCTTTATTTGTACATTAACAAGAAATAAACAACATGCAAATAATGAAAGGGTCCAAGTGTCCAACTATGTCAGAAGTAGTGAAAGCCCAGAACTGTAGGTCCCAAATTAGATTTTTCATCTCTAACAACTGCTTGCCTGAAAGAAACCATCAAGGCGAATAATCAATTCCTTTTACCCATGTTGTAAATAAGTTCCTTCCAAGGTGTTTGGTTATCTTTGTCCTCAGAATAGTTTATCTATTTGTTTGCCAAGTCTTCTAAATGACTAACTAGTTATCAAAACCAGAGCTATTCTTCACCCTTGCACTCGTTACAATATAGAACCCTCATGCTGAATCTATCAAATTAATAAATACCCACCAAAAAGATCTGACGTCCGGTTAAGTCCTGAACAGCTACTTGCTCTTTGAAGATGAGTCTCCTACGCACCAAGACAGACAGACGCATGATTTTATCTTACGAGGACGAAATTATAAAATTTTAGAGGGGGCGAACTTTTAAAATTATTGAGGACGAAAATAAATTATCAATAGAAAATATAAAAAAATATATAAAATATACGAGAATTTGAAATTTAAGCGACTGACCGTTCGGTCCATCCCTGCCTACTGGTTACCAGTAGAAGACGAAACCACCAAACCAAATCCCGGTCACTCATAAAGCTCCAATTGTCATTCCCAATTTGACTTCTAAATTCAAGTCCTCAATACTTATTTTCCCAGTATACTCCATGTAAACCTGTGAGATTACACATAACTAACTAATAATTATCACTATGCTCAAATTAGTGAACCCTGATCTATTCTATAATAGCCACTAAAAACTTCACGAGAACAAGATAAGATTTTTTTTAAACATTTCAATGCTTTTCAACTTATGAAATGAAAAGTTAAAGATACTTGAGAGCCATTTTCCGATACGAGCTCTTGATTTCCTGATCCGTAGAGTTCCTCGGGACTCCAAGTACTTCATACGGATCTCGACGAAGCTGCTTCGCCAATCCGTCGTTTTTCTCCGACTTAGACCGATGTGGCAGCATTTTCAGAAAACACCACCGAACAAAAAATACGGTAACGGGATTTTCTTCTCCCTTTAGTTTTGCCCCTCAGGAACCTAAACCCCCAACACTTGAACTAAATTCCAAAACCAAATGAAAACTATTTTCCTTTTGGTTGCCACCTCATTTCACCGAACAATAACATTTTTAGGGTTAAGAAAGGCAATGGGAAAGAAGAATAAATTATTCAGGGGCATTGAGAAGAGAAGAGAAGAGAAGAGAAGAGAAAAGAGAAAGAGTAAACTCCATTGGACCTCTCAGCTGAAGCTTCGTAGGAGAGAGAAAGATAAACAAAGAGAACGAAAAATTGGAGGCAATATTCTTTTTGTGCTCTTAGTTTCCTCTTTTGTTGATTTCGTTTTGAAACTGAATACTCAATAATTTAAGGGCTAAAATTTCAACTTATGCCAAATTTGTCTCGTTGGTAAAGACGAAGTTTTGTTTAAAAAAATTGTTAAAAAGTGCAATTGGAAATGCAAATAATACAAATATAAATGAAGAATCAAATGTTGTATAACTTAAATAAATTGATAATCAAATGTTATTAATTTCAATCGTAATATTTTATTATTATTTTTCTTCATACAACGATATGGTTCATCTTCTATCTATTCAATTTAATAATCATACAATATTTTTATCTCGTTAATAGTGATGTATCCCTTCAGGAATAGTTTCACTAAGCGTGCAGAGGTATCTCTACGATTATTTTACCATTTATCTGTTAAAAGTCGGCAGTATTAGTTAACATAATGGGGGTGGTAATTTAGCATACGGCTAAATTGATCAAATATTGGTCACTAAATTGTTGAAAAAATTAAATGAAATAATCACAATTTAGTCATTGAACTTAAGGTATTTACTAATTAATCCTTAAAGCTTCAACTATAAATACCCTAGTTCATTTAGCTTCAAAATCATCCCAAAGCATTCTAGCTTTCTTCCAATACTAAAGAGAATTTTAGAGAGTTTCTTGAGAGTTGTTTTCTCCTTTTTTTTATCGAGAGAGGTTGTAATTCCTATTTTTCTCATAGTAAAATTCTTCTACCGTTGCCCGTGGTTTTTACTCTATATTATTTAGGGGTTTTCCACGTAAATTTTGTGTCTCTTTTATCTTCAATTTTTATTTTCTCAAATTATCAGTTGCATTTT